GGTGTGGACTTGGATGGGAAAGTGGTGAGGTTCGGACTACGCCGAGCGATCTTCTGCTGGCTAGCGCGCCATGCTGATAAGCCGCAGGGTCCGCTCGTCCCTGGGCTAACGCAATCGTCGTCTTATCGCCAGGCACGCGTTACACGTGCACCCGTCACATTCGCCCTGAGACGCCATCTGACTGGTTCCCGAGCAGCAGATCACCATCATGCCCCAAACGCGGCCCTGCGTGACCTCGCCCGGCGTGATGGCTGGTACTGCGCCTTGAGTGGCTATGTCCTCTGGCCCTTTCATCCCCCATAAACACCCATCCCCAGCGCCATCGTCGGGGTGGCCATAGTACACCTACGCACTACCCTACCTCGCCCCGAACCTGTTGCACCAGTCGAATCGTCGAGAAGACATCTCGGGCTCTCCGTTGACGCACCTACGGAAAGCAACCCGGCGGCGACAGACTAGACTAGAGGACCGACCTTCCGCATCGAGGAGCAGTGTATTCGCTGCCTGCGAATCAGCGACAGCAACGTGAAGGCGTGTAATCTGAGCTGCCGTTACGGGAGGGATCGATCCGCGAAAGCTTGTGTAGTCTTGTTGCACAGCGCCAAATTATCTCCTCCGTCCTTGCAGTAGTACGAGGCAAGCGGGAACATGCCGGCCATGCTAGACTCCCTGGTGGGAGCCGCGAGGGAGAAGGTACATAACGCCGCGGCTTCCACTGCAGAGATGTTGGCAGCAGAATCAACAGCCATGCCTTCTCTCAAGACCCTCAGCAAGATCGCCCTTGGTGGTGCGCAAGTCATCCTCGGCCATGGAGGACGCGTCATGGGCGACTTTACCCAAAGCTGCCCCAATGCTCAATTGAGCTGCCACAACACTACCGCCGTGGAGAACCTGTGCTGCTTCAATGCGCCGGGCGGACAGATCCTACAGACGCAGTTCTGGGATGCTTCGCCTGCCACTGGACCAGAGGATAGCTGGACCATCCACGGTCTATGGTAACTTTGCCCTTCACCTGCAGCTACCTACTCAGGCTAATCATACTGTCCAGGCCCGACCGATGCGACGGCACCTACGATGCCAACTGCGACTCCTCGCGCGCTTACTCCAACATCACCGCCATCCTCAACTCCTTCGGCGCAACCGACCTCCTTTCCTACATGTCCACGTACTGGAAAGACTACAAGGGTGATGATGAGTCCTTCTGGTACCACGAGTGGGCCAAGCACGGCACCTGCATCTCGACGCTCGAGCCCGAATGCTATGACGACCACAAAGCCACAGAGGAGGTGGTTGACTTCTTTCAAAAGACTGTCGACCTTTTCAAGACTCTGCCAAGTTACGAGTGGTTGAGCGCAGCGGGCATCACACCCAGCACAAGCAAGACATACACTTTTGCTGCCATTCAGAGCGCCATCCAGGCCAAGCGCCCCGGTGTCGAAGTCACGCTAGGCTGCAAGTCCGGCGCGCTCAATGAAATCTGGTACCACTACGATGTTCGTGGTAGCGTACAGACTGGCGAGTTTGTTGCTTCAGACCCCGATGGCACGAAGTCGACATGCCCCCAGACGGGCATCAAGTACCTTCCCAAGAACGCTGGATCCTCCCCTCCGTCTACCACCACGACTGCCGGTGGACCCGCACCCACCTCTGCGCCTGGAACGCCTTTCAGCGGTAAGGGCTACCTTAACGTTGTCGTCAATGGCGCGAAGAAGGGATGTATCATTTCCAAGGGCACCTGGTACACGACCGGTACCTGTGCGACTTTCACCGCTACCGAGGCAGACAACGGCTTCACTTTGTCGAGCTCCAAGGGCAAGTGCGGCATCGTCGGTGGAGCGCTAGCTTGCGACGGCTCTGCCAGCGTGACCGGGTTCACAAACGCGGACGGTAACTTGGCTGCTGGCGGCAACGCGCAATGGAGTGCAGACAAAGTTGCGTCGGGCAGTACACAGCAAACTGTGTACGCTGGCGGAGATCACTCCGCTACCTTTTCGATTACCTGGCAGTCGGCGTAAATGCGACAGCCCTTAGCATAGACTTATTAGCATCCAATCCATGACATCATCACCTGTGAATACTGTGGCAGCCAAGCTTCGTGAAGTTGTGATTGACATCGTCTCTCTCGACTGTGGCTGCTTTGAGTGAAGAATGTCTTCGATCAACGGCACAGCTGCTGCGCGGACCCTAGAAGTTCACATTTGTGTAGAGCTTCATACCTAAAATAAATGGTCATTACATAATCCGCAGGGCGCAATAGTCTTGAAAGTTCAAGTCATTTGTTTTACATTTGATGATCGAGACATGCTGGTTAAGCAGCGTATCCCATCAAGAGTGCAGGGCACGCTAAGAGCATTTCATCGCGTGGAATCCTCATCTCCAGGTATCTAGTTTTTGTCGCCCTAATCATGTCATTCCTCGTAAATCCGATGGTGTGAGCTGTTGAATATGCCAGTCCAAATTTGCCTTTTTGTTGAAACACCGTAACCCGCTTGGACAAAGAAACGCCTGTGTACGCCGCCTACTCTGCAAGAAAATTGTGTGTAGACTTAGATGGGAAGAGGGAAGGTAACAGCCCAGGCCGCGATCTCCTTCTTGAGGTCGTTAATCTCCTGTACCTCGCCACTGGCAACCCTGCTCTTGAAGTCCTTGAGCTTGTTGTTCTCCTTGGGGAGCTCGCTCTGGATCTTCTTGCAGAGCTTGATGCACTGGTCGATGTAGTTGGCGATCTTCTTGAAGTCCTCCTCACCCAGGCCACGCGATGTCATGGCTGGGGCTCCGATACGGATACCCATGGGTGTGAGAGCTGACTTGTCACCAGGAGTGGTGTTCTTGTTGCAGGCAATGTTGACTTGCTCGAGAACAGCCTCAACACGGGCACCATCAAGGGCGAAAGGCTTCAGGTCGAGAAGGACCATGTGGTTGTCGGTACCGTCAGTGACAAGCTTGTAGTCCATGCCCTTGAAGGCAACCTCAAGTGCCTTGGCGTTCTTGATGACTTGCTGCTGATAAAGCTTGAAGTCCTCAGTCTGCGCTTGCTTGAGCGCAACCGCGAGCGCGGTGATGGTGTGGTTGTGGGGGCCACCCTGGTGACCAGGGAAGACGGAGAAGTTGATGGGTCCCTCGAGGTCGTAGAGTGTCTCCTTGCCGGTCTTGGGGTCAGTCTTGCGAACGCCCTTGCGGAAGAAGATCATAGCACCACGGGGTCCGCGAAGGGACTTGTGGGTGGTGGTAGTGACAATGTCGCAGTATTGGAAGGGCGACTTGTTGACACCAGCAGCGACCAGACCGGAGATATGAGCCATATCCATCAGTAGGTAGCAGCCGACCTTGTCAGCGATCTCGCGCATGCGGGCGTAGTCGATCTCACGGCAGTAAGCGGAGGTACCGGCGACGAGTACCTTGGGGCGGTACATGAGGGCGTTTTGCTCGAGCTGGTCGTAGTCGATGAGGCCGGTGTCGAGGTTTACGCGGTAGGGGAAAGTCTCGAAGTATGTGGAAACAGCAGAGATCCTACTTATGGTCAGCATGTCATCCCAATACATATCGCTCGATCTGTACGCACTTCCTCTGCGGTGTTTGGTAGCCGTGGCTCAAATGTCCACCGTGTGGCAGGTCAAGACCCATCAGCCTGTCGTGTGGCCTCATGATGGCCTGGTAGGCCTGGAGGTTTGCCGGGCTACCACTCAAGCACTGTACGTTGACACCCCACTTCTCTGAGTCGAGGCCGAAAGTCTCAAGGGCGCGCTTCTGGCAGAGCAACTCGATTGAGTCGATGTGCTCGTTGCCACCGTAGTAGCGGGCACCAGGGTAACCCTCGGAGTACTTGTTGGACATGGGCGAGCCGAGCGCATCGAAGACAGCGCGGGAAGTGACATTCTCGGAGGCGATGAGGAGGATGGATTCGCGCTGACGCTGGATTTCCTTCTCCTGCGGTGTTTGTTAGTACAAGTATAAAGTAAGCAGGTAATGGCATAGTCATACCATGATCTGGGCGACCTCTTGGTCGGTGTCCACCAGGGACTTTTCCATGAGCTGTGCCGCGTTAGCATTGCGCATCTTCTCTTTGACGCGGGGCAACATACGTCCTGGTGGGACTTGGGGAGTGCGTAGCTAGACATGACAGGCAATCAAATGAGGATGTGGTTTGAGGAGAGGGGGATTGAAAGAAAAAGATCGGAAGATAGCAGTAAGACTACAGCGCCTTTAAGCAGTCAGAGCACTAAATGTCCCTCTCATGCCAACCCCACCAATTTTTCTGGACGCGACAAAATGCCCTAGGCTCGCTTAGGTATGGCGCCATCGATAATTGCACTCTGCGGCCGGTCGTCGGAGGGACTCGGGCAGGCTTTGCGAGAGTGTGCAGTCAGACCTGTTCTTACAAGTTGTGTAGATGTAGCATATGAGTGCGCATTTCATGGTAAGACGAATCTTTCCCGTTTCGGGTCAAAAAGGCAGGTCGACTGGCGGCTCCGCTACTGCATTTCCCCGCGTTATGCGAGAATACCCCGGATGTCAATCGGGAGATATGAGCTATGGCGGAATTCCATCGCCCAGCGGCCATGGTTCCATTGCTACTGGACGAAAGGAGGCATTGCATTTAACTTCTTTGACTGTCACCCGTCGGGAAAGCATCGCTCAAGTTGGGGTAAAAGTTTTTGACGTATCCAATTCTCATTCTTTCATTTACTACATGAATACAGCCCATCCAAGCGTTGCTTTCAGTCGAGTCATTCCTCCTTCGTCTAACCATCGTTGGTGAAAACCAACACTCGCTCATGGATCAAATTGATCTGATGCAAACAGAATCTCCAAACGCCGGGTATGCCAGAAGAATTGTGAGCAGCAAGCTGCCACCGCGTCGCCCAAAATAAAAGGGTATGTAACTGAGCTGAAGAAGTGAAGGCCGAGTAAGCTCGGCGCCAAATTACACAATCGCGCCAACAAAATGCTCATCCTTTCGTAATTATGTTTTGAATGTATTCGCAGCCGGTTCGGTCCTCTTAGTCGTTGTCGGTGAGACGGTCGAGAACAATGATGCTGAGAATCATAACGAGCAACCCGATGGTTACTATTATGAGGAGTACGAAGCCGAACCAACCAAGGACCATGGCCGATGTACCGACACCAGACTTGACGCTGCCGTTGCCCAGATCTTGCACGATGGTTGCTGCTGCGACGGATGCTGTGTGTTGCCACAAGACTGACACCAGGACGAAGATGGATGAGATGAAGATGAGCGCAAGGGCGACTTGGGAGACGGGCCGCGACGGGAAAGGCTTGACGTCGACGTCAGATCCGGTTCGCTCGTCTCGCTCCTCGTGCCATCCGGGGAAGGTGGCGAGGAGGATGAAGGTGAAGAAGGCGAGGATGATGGCGACAATGAGCAGGTATGGGAAGACAACCGCGTCCTTGAACGTGGCGGCAACCCAGACAAGGTTGAGGGGGTCCTGGTCGACTGAAACGTTGTCGACGAGCGCAGTGGCGTTGTTGGAGCAAATGAAGCCACCACCGTCTCTGTTGATGCAGATGCCGAAGTAGCCAACGCGCACACCGAGCTGTGCGTTGCCGACAATGTTGGCAATGGCGGCTGTGACACCGGGGTCGACTTGTTCAGGTGCGTAGGTGGGTGTGAACTTTTCGTACCACATGGAGATGAGGAAGATGCCGGGGATGAGCGGTGATGTGGATGAGCATCCTGCGAGTAGCAATGCTGCGAGAATGTTAGCTGTGCCCGTCTGCTGTGGTTTCGTCCCAACTTACATAGCAATATTATCGCAATTGCAATGAGAATCATGAGAACATGGTGAAAGCCAAGAAACGGTATTAGCCCTGGGCATTGTTAGTCGTGATCGTTCTCCTGGAAGCTGCGGTGTACTTACGTTGCATGCTAACCGCGAACCGTAAGTTCGCCATTGTGAATGTTTCTCTCCTTCAACTGCCTCTTATGGGCCTGTGTTCTCCCTGCGCCCCCAGAGGGCCGGGTGAGATGAGCGGGGAAGTGCACTCAGACTGCGGCTGGTGATGGTCTCTCTCCTGTGAGGGTACGAGAGTGGAAGCGATGGCGTCTTGTCCCAAGTGTACTGAGTCGAATGCGGGACGCGGGTCGATGTTGGTACGCTCGGCTGGATGGCTCTACAGCGGCGGTGGATGCACTGCGACGACGATGGTCAGATGTCTCCTGTGTGGAAGAATATTCAAAGTGTGGGTGGTAGCGTGGAATGTGACTTCTCTCTTTGCCTGCAGCGACGGATACTTTTGCTGTTGCGAAAATGGTGATGGCTGGTCTGAAGTGGCTGGAGGTGGTTGGCTTAGTCCATCAACAAAGCGGGTTGTCGAGGGGACCGAACACGAGCATCCTGCCCCGGCCGCCCCCAACCGCCAATCGCACGCCGCGCTACTGCTGATCCGAGCGCGTTCCTGCGTTAGAGCCTCCTGGCAATGTCCCCGTCCAGCCTCTGCATTTCCTGCGACGACGTGGCGCCTTGCGTACGGTACCGCCTAGAGCCCTGCCGCGACCGCTCTTTCGCGTGCGCCATCGCTGTCACCGCAGAACGCGTCGTAGCGCGATGCACTGGAAGATACCCGCTTCGACAGCGCATACCGCCATGTACCGTATATAGCAGTCGGTGTGCCGCCGACAGTGCGCGGCCGGAGATTCAACAATAAAAAGCATCACGCACCTCTATGTATCTGAGCATCCTACCATGCCACTTGGTCAACATGTCGTTCTGCGCACTCCTGTATGTTGAGTCCAGGCACATGAGAAGGCGGTCGTCGACACCATCACGTGACGCTTTCTGGGAATATGTAGGCATGGAGTCAACGCGACAGCTTCAAGGCGACCTCAACTCAGGGCTGCATGTTTCCATGGCTCGGCATCGGGCCCTGAAGTATTATCCGGTGGCCCTGCAGCGACGTCTCCCAAACATGCACACGGCGGAAGCTTGCGCTGCACCCTGTTTACATGGCGGCAGACCACCTCCTTCATAGTCCCTAGACCTGCCCGTCGAGATCGCTGATCAAGTTATAGTGATTGCGCATCCAGAATCTCAACGTACGTCAGTGATCAGCAGAGTCATTTCGTGATCATGACAACGCGAGGCTAGGTGCTGAATAGAGGCAAGCATGGGGCTCCGTTGACCTGGCGATCGGACTTGAAGCTTGATTGTTACACCCTGTGCCCTTGGAAAGACGGGATGATGTCACCGCTACTACACGTGGGGTCGCGCGTCCGGCGCAGGGACGCAGGGACCTGTAGTGCCCTGCCCCACCACCCACCAGGCATCAAACTTCACCCAGCGGTTCACGATACGCATGCTCGACTACACACGACTAATCTTGATACCCACTTGATCAATAATCGCAACCTGGCAATCGCGCTCAAGGCGCAGTATAACGTCCGCAACATCAGTTGGCTAGCTCTTGTCAACACGGGTCAGCCACCGTGGAAAGCTTGCTTTCATCGTTGATCCATTCTTCCATCCCTGCTCATTCGCCTCTTATAGTGATATGCAAACAAGCGAACAAGGACGGCCTATCACGAAAGTAGATGAAATCTAGACCTACTCGGATTGCCAACTGAATGACGTCCTCGACGTGCTGGGCATACGCCGTGGTTTGTGGCTGCGCTGTTTCATTCTGGGCACATGTCAGTCAGCACTCCTGCTGAGACTGCGAACGGCAGTCACGAACCATGACGTAGCTGCTTGGGTCCGGGGAGCATATAAGCAGTGCTCACCCTGCACTGAAGATAGACCTCATCAACATCCACACCTGCAACTTCAACCAACTCGAATCATCAACCACCTACATCACACTACCTCAAACTAAACCAAACTACCACCTTCAAAATGGCCGACGCATTCCGCAAAGACACCCACACCAAGCTTGGTGAGAAGATGGTACGCCACCTTCACCTTCCATTCTCCACCACCTTCACTAACACCCCCCTCAGCAACCCCAATCTTCCAAGTCCACCGGCACCAAGATTAAGGAGTCCCTGACTGGCACCGGCGACAAGGTTGCCCGCGAGCTCCAGCCCGACTCCTCCAAGACCAACACCCAGTCCACCATGGACAAGGTCGGACGCAGCAAGGACAACAACGTTCACGGCTCCACCGGTGGTAGCATCGTCGACAAGGCCAAGAACACACTTGGAATGGGTCACCACACTACGGGAACCCATACCACCCACACCCACGGCAGCGGCTTGTAAGCGTTGTGCTTGCTGTTGACGGTGGACGAAGGAATGAGATACCCAACTGAGGCATTATGAGATACCTTGCCTACGGGCTAACGAATTAATATCCTATTACACTATGACTTGATGCCTGTGTCTATGTTCGACTGTGCCGCGTATGCTTGATCCTGGTGACCCCCTGGTGTTATGAACTTTTCACTGTCTATCAGCGCAGCGTAGCCACTGTGCAGTTCCTGAAAATCGAACGTGGTATGAGAACGAAGATGATTGAAACAATCGATGGCGTCAAGCCAAAGGGTATGCGTGATGATAGACAAACTCTCGTACAGCTTATGGGTAATCTATAATTTGCATAACATCGTAATAGTTGCGTAAGCGGCGCATATACGTGCGCAATTGCTTGCCATAGGTGTGAACATGGAGCTCGCGATCAAGTAGGCATCGCCATCACGCCATTCCACCCGCCTGATGCGCCTGCCCCTCCGCCTCTGCCACCACGCCCAGAAGGCCTCCCTGCCGTTGCGCCTCCCGATGCTCTGCTGCTACTACCCTTCGATGCCCGCTTCTTGACACCCGCAGAACCCTTACCAAAGCTCGCCCTCTTGCGAAAAGGGCCCTTCTTGTACCCTGACCCAGAGGCTTTCGATCTACCTCTTGCTGCTGGTGCCTTCGTTGCTTTGGACGTAGAAGGGGCTGCGCCGCCACCGAGCTGCGTGTATTTACTGTTGAACTCCGCCACGGCTTGGTTTGGGAATTGGCTGAAGTGATGACTCGTGTGAACTGCATCATCGTCGTCCTCGTCCTCGTCGCCAAACTCGCCATAGAAGGATTCTTCTTCAGATTCTTCTGCAATGGGTACCTCCTCTTCGTCCTCACTACACAGGTCCACGACGAGCCGATGGTTTTGGTCGACAACTTCTTCTTCTTCGTCATCATCGTCAATCTCGTGAATGACTCTGGATTGCTGGGGTCGGCGATTGCGAAGCTGTGGATTCCGAGGTACTGGTGTGTCGTCCCCGTAGAAGTTTCTTGTGTTGTCTACCAAGGCCAAAAATTGCCTGCCATATAGATCCACCATTTCCGGCCTGATACCCGGGATAGTCTTCATCTCATCCAGATCCATAGGTAGATCAAGACCCATTTCACGTAGTACTGTGTCTGTGAAGATGGCTTCACGGTGGTTTTTCTTGTCTTCTATGCCCTTCCTCAACTGCTTGGCTCCGTTCATGAAGTCTCGCAGAACATCGGACTGGAATTCGCTGAGTCCTTCGGTGCGTTGATCTGTAGTAATTGGAGCTCCGACACCCTTTGCTTTCGTGCTTCTTGATGGCTTGGCGACACGTATTGGCGCAAAATCGTCATCAACCACGAAATCGTCCGCCTCGTACCCGCGGGCGGTCTTACTGCGGGCGGGGTGTCGTGGAGCTTCGAATGCATCGTCATCGTCGTCGTCCTCTTCATTATAGGCAAACGATCGGATCTTCTGCTTCGGTGCGCGTACGGGGGAGGGAACATTGGTAGACGGAATCTGAGTTTGGGTTTTCTTTGCCTTCTTGACAGCGGGTGCTTTCGCGCGCGCTTTCTGTGGCGAAGAACGAACTTGAAGCTTGAGCTGCTTTCGTTTGCTCTCGTAGTCGTTGCGTGCCGAAGCAGGCTACAATCGTCAGTATGTAGAATACAGTCAGGGCAGTAAATACATACGTGTAAGTAGTTCGTCGCGAAGCCAACTTTGTTCACCTTGCTTCTTTCCTTGAAGGCCCCAGCGTCGAGCAGGTGTTGGAAGATGCGTTCGTTGTCACCGCGTTCCAAGTCCTTGCCGTAGCCCCATCCATACTCTTCTAATCCAGAGCGTTTGATCTTCGCACTGCCCGCGCCACGGAAAGCGTCCACGCACTGGTGCATCGTCACGTTGTCCTCGTGTACCTGGCTCACAAGTTTGATGGCCATGGCAGCGTAGTCCGTAAGGTCTTTAGTAACAAACGTCGCATCTGAGCGACAGTTGTCGCACGTCGAGTTGCACTTAGAGGCATCGAATGCTTCACTAAAGTATCCGAGTACTTGAGCGCGGCGACAGTCTGCTTTGTTTTCGCAGTACTGGATAACAGTTCTCAGCATATCGCTCAGTCGCTGTTTCTGCTCCCAGCTACCTTCGCCTTCCTCGATCATCTTGCGCAATATTCTCGAGTCGGCATATTGATAGTACAGGTAGCACTCTGAACGTTTGCCATCACGGCCAGCTCGACCGGTCTCTTGGTAGTAGCCTTCTAAACTCTTGGGCAGCGAGTGGTGGATCACATATCGTACATCAGGCTTGTCGATTCCCATACCAAAGGCGATGGTAGCCACTATGACATGATATTCGTTCTTCTGCCATTTGCGTTGGACTTCGGATCGGTCTGCGGATTCCATTCCTGCGTGGTAGTGATACGCACGGATGCCCACATCGGATAGCTTCTGGGCCACTTGCTCACAGCTCTTTCGTGACAAGCAGTATATGATGCCGGATTTCCCAACATATCTCTCTTTGATTAGATCAGCGATGCTGTCGATGACGCCTTTGGCTTTTGGCACAACCTCGTAAGACAAGTTGGGGCGGTTGAAACTCTGGGAGAATTGACGGCAACCCTGGATACCGAGGTTTGCTACTACGTCAGTGCGGACAAGCTGGGTCGCAGTCGCGGTCAGTGCAATAACGGGTACTCCTGGAAACTGACGAACGACGTCTCCAAGTGCCTTGTAATCTGGCCGGAAGTCGTGGCCCCACTGACTGACACAATGCGCTTCATCGATGACGATGCGGGCAAGATTGCCCCCAGAATGCAATTGCTGGAAAGCACTGATCATTCTCTGGTTCTTGCTGAGCATCTCGGGTGTTAGATAGAGGATCTGTATGAACTGTTGGGGATCCCGCTGACGTAGCCCATCCATTATCATGTTCTTTTGTGCTGCGGTCGATTCTCCGTTGATCAGAAAGGCCTGCATCCCAAAGCGCTGTTTGCAGGCCTCCACTTGATCCTCCATCAAACTCAGGAGCGGAGATACTACGATGGTGACTCCTCTCGTCTTGCCTGAGGTAATTACTGATGGAAGTTGGTAACAAAGAGATTTGCCACCTCCCGTAGGCATGAGCACAAAACAGTGTTCGCCAGACAGCGTCGTGTTTATAGCTTCCAACTGTCCTGGACGGAATCCTCGCAGACCGAAGCGGCGAATAAGGGCGGTCCTTAGATCTTGTGACCAAGGGAAGTTCATACCAGGATGATTCTTAGCAGGCATATCCAGCTGCTGCTTCTTCGGTGAAGCTTGCTGGGCTGGTTTAGGCTTGGCTTTATTGGTAGAAGTTTCGCGGAACACCTCACGAGATTGTGTAGTGACGTGATTCCCAGCCCGCTCGCCCTTCCAATCAAAACCACCTGGTGCCTGATTCTCAATGTTGGTGATCTCGTGAAGGAAGTCATCATCGTCGTCCGGTCCAAATGCCCCACCAAAATCATCGTCGTCATTGATCTCAATGGGTTGGTGAAGTTCGCCCATGTTGTTGCTGAACAGGGTTTCGTTCTCTTCAAAGTCAAGCTCGCCAAACTCATCTGGTGTGTGTTGCGGAGCTACTGGCCTTGATCGCTTTGGAGAACGTCGGCGCTCTGGCGTCTCAGGCACTCTATGGGATCGCTCTTTTGACTTCGCTTTTTGCTTTCCTGCCATGTCATCATTCGCACGGGCACGGGAGCCTAGGTTTGGAGGCGGTAGTGGGGACGCAGCTACTTGCTCTTCTGCGAAACGGATATGCCGAGTAGGCGTCCACAGTTCCTGAGCGGGAGCCTCGGGTGGCCTACCGTATTGTGTCTGGGGGATGCGATGTGAGCCTGCATCCCTTGACGCTTTTGGGTGTGGGCGGACCGGGCTCGCTTGGGTTGATTGTATGACCACATTACGGCTGATTTTCGTTTCAGTCTTCACAAGAGGTGTTGACTGCTGCTTGATGGCTGCCGCATCCAGTAGGTAAAACATCTGGATCAGAACATCCTCGTTCATCTTGAACAGTCTGCTGAGGGTTTCACCGTCCGCTGCATCAAATTGACCGATGTTCAAGTCATCCTCTAGCTTCTGTTTGACCCTCTGCCGCTGCCCGATTAGTTCCTCGTGTTTGGATTTCAAGGTTATCAATTGCTCGACTGCCTCCTTTCGTGAACGAGCGCGTTCCATCCTTTCTTGTTCGCTTGGATCAGGCTTGCCAAACTCGGAAAGATGTGCTACAAACGCAGCCCTGGCATTATCCCATGCCGAGCTTGCAGCGTTGAGGTGTTTCTGCAATCTTTGGCCTTCAGTGCCCAGGAAGGTATCCATGGATTCTCTGATGGCATCTCTCCTTTCCTTTGGAAGTTCGGAAGAGCTTGGTACGCGTTTTGTGGATGCAGGCACTGGTGTGGGTGTAGGCCTTGCAGCCTTCTTTGGAGACTGAGACTTCGCTGGAGTGGGCATAGAGTCCTGTTCCGGCTGATATGGGCTTGGACTTCTTACGGTCTTCGAAGGCGATCGTATGGGAAGCTGCGTTTGACTGGCACCTCTGGTGAACTCGGTCATCGGTGTTTTCTCGCGTAGTTTCTTCCCCGTTGGAGTGGGTGATTTCGTCCGGGATTGGGTATCGATATCCATCTCATCCAGTGCACCAAATTCTTCATCCTCCGAGTCCAAGACCGCATGCCCAACCCTCTTAGTGCCAGGTGTGTCCAACCGTCGATCATTTCTAGCCATAGCCCCGGTCTTAGCGAGATCGTTCTTCCGGGGCGAAGGACTACGCGTTTGCTTCCCCATTTTGCGAGCGGGCGCATTTTCCGAGGGTGCGCGGCTCAGTGACTTGCGTTTACGGGGTTGTGAGGCTATCGCATTCTCTGCGTTCGCCATTTGTCTCTCCTCCTCTTCTAATTGCAACATAGCTTCCAGGTCGTCGTCTTCTGCTGTCGCGATATGCTTTGACTGTTTACCTACACCGTCTACGATGGTTGAGTATGGTGGAGGAGGGCTGTCGGGGGCCATGACCATATCGTCAATATCGGGGAAGTCATCATCGTCGACGAGCTCTGGACTGAGCGCATGAGCCTTGCGAACAGGTCTGGGAGACTTGGTGCGACGTAGGTCTGCCTCGTACTCGTCGCTCTTTCGTTTCCGACCCTTAGAGGTGCGCGTTGGAACTGGAGAGGAGCGACCCGCGTCGTCACCAGTGAGATCGATTGAGTCGACATCAACTGGCTCGCGGTACTTCGTTCTCGCGGTAGCATGTTGGGAGGCAGGTGTGCCAGTATTCCCAGTGATACTCCTCACATTCGCTGATAGATCTTGTATGTTGTTCTTGAAACTTCCAACATCACTCGGTTCCTTTCGTTCCCTGCCTGCTGATTTGGAAGAGGATACATGTTCAGGCAACCCCGCTAAGATGAGTCTAGGCTTTCCACTCGCTGGAGTGTGCCTCAATCTTGCCATATCCAAGGTCGCGTCTTCCGTGCCTGGCGGGTTGTGTATATCAATAGTCCGTGTTCGAGCGAGAGCGCGGGGTGGAGCGGGACGTTCGGCCGGTAGTGCTGGTGGGGGTGGTGGCGCGGAGGCAGCTTCAGGCTCATCGTATCCTGCGTGGTCGTCCAAGAAGGAAGAATGCTGTGGAGAAATCGTAGCTGAACTCGTCGGAACTGCGTCGGGATCGTATGCAACGAGCGAAGCCGCGGGCGGAATGAAAGGCTTCTCTGCGATCAACCACTTGAGATGTTTGCTAAGATTGTTCTGAGGCATGAGAGCGTCGCATCGTCGGTGTGAGTCCGCATGAATATTTTACGCGTCAGTCCGTGTAGGCATCGCGATTTTGCAGGCGTGATGGTGGCGATGTCATCGATAGCATCGTTGACCGTGTTGTGCTAACTCCGGAACGCGCCGCGCTAGCACCAAGTCACGTGCTGGGTGGATGCCGAAGAACCTCGAGTGGACCTGCCGCTTTGGAGCCAAACGTGCCGCTTGCTTCACGAACCCGCTCAAGACAGCCAATCGCGAAAGTGGCCCGCTCGATAGATCAAAATATGGCGCAGGTTGCGAAGGCACATGTCGCTTCCGGCCATCCTAGGTAATCATCGCGAAATCTAGGCTCTTCATAGAGTCAGACGCGTCCCGTCACTCGTACAAACACTTCTCGCGCCAACATTTATATGCTGCACTTCTTTACGTTCCAGCATCCACCACGGAAACGAGCTGTGAACGTTCCCAGTTCTACTTCTTTACGCATCAATTTAATCCATCATGGAGGTCCCAGCTCACGACCTGTTCCAAAGACTGTCGACGTCGATCTCAAAGCTATACTTAAGCCCACCGCCTGAGAATGTCCTTCCCTCAACGAATACGTTGAGTGCTGCTCGCTCTATGCTTCATCCCCACCTCCAGAGCCAGGGCGTGGGTCTCGAAGAAAGCATACGGCACATACAAGAGGACCTCGCCCCAGCCTTCAACAGTAGTTCCCGCTCTCCTAATTACTACGGCTTTGTGACCGGTGGTGCGACACCAGTAGCACTGCTTGCTGACAACCTGGTCACAGCCTATGACCAAAACGTGCAAGTTCACCTACCAAATGAGACCATCGCCACAGACGTTGAGGATCGAGCTCTTTCTCTATTGTGCGAGTTGCTCAATTTCGAACCAGAACAATGGCCACATCGCATATTTACCACAGGTGCGACGGCAGCCAATATCCTGGGGCTGGCGTGTGGACGAGAGTATGTGATTGCTGAAGCCTCAGCACATCGTACAGACGTCGAGATTAGCGTTGGCGAACTTGGTATCACGGAAGCTATGCGGAAAGCTGGTATCGACGAGATCCAAATCTTGACCACGGTACCGCACTCATCGCTGAGCAAGGCGGCAAGCATACTGGGTCTGGGGCGGACGAGCGTTAAGTGTCTAGGACAGCCAGATGCGCCGCACAAATTTGACATGCAGCTACTCAAGAAGTCTCTTGAGCGACCTGGTGCCGCATCGATCGTGGCTATCTCTGCATCAGAAGTCAACACAGGAGTCTTTGCGACTTCTGGGCTAGAAGAAATGCAGGAGATGCGAAAGCTGTGCGACATGTATGGAGCATGGATACATGTGGATGGTGCGTTTGGGCTCTTCGGCCGCATATTGACCTCACCCGCGTACTACTCTATTACCCGAGCTTGTGAAGGTCTTGAGCTTGCGGATTCGATCACAGGTGACGCGCACAAGCTGCTCAACGTACCATACGACTGTGGCTTCTTCTTCTCTCGACACCGCAACATCGCTGAACGCGTATTCCAGAATCCCAACGCGGCATACCTCGCTTCTGGGAACGACGCGAACGCCATCATGTCACCACTGAACATCGGACTCGAGAATTCTCGACGATTTCGAGCGCTGCCGGTTTACGCCAACCTTGTTGCGTATGGTAAAGAGGGCTATCGTACGATGTTGGAACGACAGATTGAACTCTCGCGAGGAATCGCAAGATATATTCTGGAGACTGATGGATATGAGCTCCTCCCTCAACACGATACTCCTCAGGAAGACGTCGTAAACAGCATATACATCATTGTACTGTTCCGTGCAACAGATGAAGCACTAAACAATCAACTGGTCAACAAGATCAAGGCAACGAGGAAAATATATGTGTCAGGTACAGCATGGGACGGGAAGCCAGCATGTAGGTTTGCAGTTTCTAACTGGATGACGGACGCCGAGAGGGATTTGCCCATCATCAAACAGGTGTTGCAAGCCATATTGTCCGACAAAGAGAGTGTACAGTCGAAATAGCGAACTGTATTTACAAGAATGGAACGAGTATGAGCGTATTACATGTCCTCCATCTTGTACACTTCGTATACTGGCTCCTCGTATGGGTGTGCTCTGCTTCCATCAGCGAAATTGATCATCACTAGAGATGGACAGACTCACTTTTTCAGTGCTTCCACGGCTTTGACAGTTATATCGCGCCCTATGCACATGGCCTCGACTCTGTACTCGTCCACTTCTTGTAGTTCACCAGCCTTGCCAATCTAAGAGCCGTTGTCAGCCTTCACTGTTCATCACACTGTGGCTCTACGTATGCTTAAGAAACCTACGTGAGGGTCGGCAGCGTTGCCCGGTCTAAATTGTCCCGTTCCTCTGCTTGTGAAGCAAACTTCCGTGTAGCCCCCTGGGCCTGGATAACGCCCTGCACCGGCACTCAAGACAGCGGTCTTGCAGGCGCTGAGGGCAGAGGGAGGGACGAAAAATACAATCTTGAACTTTTGCAGACTTGATGCCATGATTACGCAGGCAGGAAGCGACGAGTATGATAGTTACACAAAAGAGGTTGGAGTACCCGCAGCCTTTTGGTCTCAAAGATATGACTGCAGCTGAGATCCACGATGATGTGGATGTACCCAATCGCAACGGTGCCTGGGGCGGGGCTACCTTCACGGCAGCTGCACAGCACCGCATATGGCAACCATTAGCAGTTTGGTATGTGTGAGGCAGAATCTATTAGCAAAACGCGAAGCCTGATAATGGGAAGTCTGTCTAAGAACAGAATTAAAGACGGTCAAGTTTGGTGCAGTCTGACGGTTGAAGGGAAGGCGGCGGCACGTTAGCCCCGCGCCCCGCTACAGGCAGACCGCACGTGTCAGGGTGTTTGTTTACCTGTGCGCACAACACTAGGAAAGTGTCCAGTTGCACAAGGATACTCCGCGCAATTCGCGCCCAACCACGATCAGCCCACAGCCATAGCAATCATGGCTTCCATGTCCCCGAGGAAATCTACGCGCGCCGCTGCGACGCGCCGAAAAGCACCCGTTGTCGACGACTCGGACCATGAGGAAAACAGGACCCCTACGCCCGAAGTCAAGCAGGAGGAGGAGGAAGAATTCACACCGGCCCCCGCGCCACTCAAGACGGGACGGGGACGGGGAAGGCCTCGGAAGGCTGCAGCCCAGAATGAAGAAGCGACACCCAAGCCCGCAGCGAGGCGGCGGACGCGCGCCACAGAGTCGGTCGAACCCACGCAGACGCTCACACCCGCGATAGAGAGGACCACCAGGGTGGCTTCACCCTCCAAGGCGGTGCCCAAGAAGCGCGGCAGGAAGCCACGTGCTTCTGTCGCTGCACCTCCGGCTGAGGATACCTCGCACTTGCTCACTCCTGAGCCTTCAATATCGCCCGAGCCTGAGGTTGAGCAGCCGTCCGAAGCCACCGTTACACCAAGCTCGCCGCTTGCCGATACTACAAACGACACGGCAGACGATCCTACGAATGATGCAGTAGACGATCCTACGAGTGACGCTGCGAGCGATGTTACCATGACCGACCGAACGCCGGAGCCCGCACCCGCACCTGTGCCAGAATCCGCACCCGAGCCTGTGGCTGAGGTTACCCAGATAGAACCGAAAGACGAGTCGCCCGTACCGGAGCCGAAGGTCGAGGCTGAGCCTTTATCAGAGCCTCAGCCCCCAGCCAAGGTCATGGAGGATCTCGGCACACAACAAACTATGCTTGAGCCTATAGATATTGTGGTCAAGAGGCGAGCGGCAGGTATCCCCGCGTTGCATGAGCCTGTAGCGCCCAAACAGCGGACGGTAATCACCTGGCTCGTCCTCAATAACTTCAAGAGTTACGCTGGCCGACAGGCGGTTGGGCCCTTCCACGCCTCCTTCTCCTCCGTGGTGGGACCGAACGGCTCCGGGAAGTCAAACGTCATCGACTCGCTTCTCTTCGTCTTCGGTTTCCGCGCAAGTAAGATGCGACAGAGCAAGCTTTCCGCCCTCATTCACAATTCGGCGGCGTTCCCGGACCTGGATTACTGCGAGGTCGAAGTCCACTTCCAAGAAGTCAAGGACCTCCCAAACGGCGGCCACGAAGTCATCCCGGACTCAGACCTCGTCGTCTCTCGAAGGGCGTTCAAGAACAATTCGAGCAAATACTACATCAACAGGAAGGAGTCTACATTCACGATTGTCACCACCCTGCTCAAAGACCGCGGCGTGGATCTCGACCATAAGCGTTTCTTGATCCTGCAGGGTGAGGTTGAATCGATCGCGCAGATGAAGCCCAAAGCACAGGGCGAACATGACGATGGACTGCTTGAGTATCTCGAAGATATCATCGGCACGTCCAAGTACAAGACACCCATCGCAGAGTCAGAGGTTGAAGTGGAGACCTTGAATGAAGTCTGTCGTGAGAAAAGCAGCCGTGTACAGCACGTCGAGAAGGAGAAGAGCAGTCTGGAAGAGAAGAAGAACAAGGCGCTCGCCTACATTCGTGACGAGAACGAGCTGGCCTCGAAGCAGTCCACCCTCTACCAAATATATGTGTCCGAGTTCGACGATCACATTCAAGTCACCCAAGAGTCTGTCGGCCAGCTCCAGTCGCAGCTTGATGAGGAGTTGCAGAAGCACCAAGGCAACGAGGAAGAGATCAAGGGGCTTGAGCGACAATACAAGGCTGGCGCGAAAGAGTGTGAGCAGCTCGAAAAGAAGAACCAGGAGTACCAGAAAGAGGTGGCCCGCGTTGACAAGGAGACGGTCAAATTCGAGGAGAAAAAGAAGTTCTTGGCTAATAAACAGAAGAAGCTGGAGAAGACCAAGGAGACAAGTGGCTATGGTCGATCGGAGGCAGACAGCCTCGCCAAGCAGTACGCTGCGGACGTCGAGCGCTACAACGAAGAGATTGCTGAGCTCGAGCAGAGCATGGAGGTCGAAGCGAAGGAGCTTGAGACGATTCGCAAGAGCTTGGCTGGTAAAACACAGGGTCTCTCCGACGAGATCGCTGCAAAGCAGAAATCTTTGGAACCTTGGAGTGCCAAGATCAACGAGAAACAGTCCGCTATTGCAGTTGCTCAGAGCGAGCTCGACATCATGCGTGAGCGTGAGAATGCAGGTGCCAAGGGTATTGCCGAAGTCGAAGCAAAGATCGAGAGCTTGGAGGAAGCCAAACAGGCGAAGGTTGCAGAACTCGATGAGTGCAAAGCCGAGAGGAAGCGTGTCGAGAAGAACGTCCAAAAGACACGGGCTAAACTTGAGGAGATAACTCAACAAGAACCGGCGCTGAGGTCGAAGCTATCTGGCGCACGAGCCAAGGCAGATGAGGCTCGGGCAAGTCTCTCTTCCGCTCAGACTCAAGGCAACGTTTTGACGGGTCTGATGCGTCTGAAAGAATCAGGACGTATCGATGGATTCCATGGTCGACTCGGAAACCTAGGCACCATCGATCAGAAGTACGACGTTGCTATCTCTACAGCCTGTCCGCAACTAGACAACATGGTTGTAGACACAGTAGAGTCTGGTCAGCAGTGCATTGAGTACCTACGGAAGAACAACCTCGGTCGCGCCAACTTCATTCTCCTGGATCGCCTCGCCAAGCGTGACATGTCGCCAGTGCAAACACCCGAGAACGTGCCACGTCTTTTCGACCTCGTCAAGCCTAAGCACGAAAAGCTCAAGCCTGCATTCTTCCAGGTTATGACAAACACACTGGTCGCCGAAGACCTTGACCAAGCTGAGCGTATCGCATATGGCGCGAAGAGATGGCGAGTCGTCACCCTAGATGGCAAGCTTATCGACACTGCGGGTACCATGAGTGGTGGTGGAAGCAGAGTAGTCAAGGGAAAGATGTCTTCCAAGCTCGCGTCTGATGTTTCAAAAGACCAGGTCACAAAGCTCGAGCATGACCGTGATACACTTGAACAGACCTTTGCTGAGTTCCAACAAGAGCTGCGCGAGCTCGAGACTGCACTGAGAGACCTCAATCAGCAGATACCCGAACTGGACACCAAGTCACAGAAGCTTGCGCTAGAACTTGAGAGTTTTGATCGCAATATTGCGGATTGTCAGCGCCGCATCAAAGAGCTAGGTAGTGAGCAGACATCCACGAAGACCGACAAGGGTCGCATCGCATCGCTGGAGAAGAACATCGCCACGATGGAGAAGGAGGTCTCTAAACTTCGTGCAGAGACTGAGGATATCGAAGCGGAGATCAAGGCTCTTCAGGACAAGATCATGGAAATCGGAGGAGTCAAGCTACGAGGTCAGAAGGCCAAAGTCGATGGTCTTAAGGGACAGATCGATACGTTGACCGAGCAAGTGTCTAATGCACAAGTCGCGAAATCAAAGGAAGAGAAGCAGTGCGTCAAGCACGAGAAGGCACATAACGATGCCATCAAAGAGCTCGAAAAGCTTGCTCTTGATGCCGAAAAGGTTGAAGAGGATATGGCTTCACAACAACGCGACGTTTCCGGAATCCGACAGCAGGCCGAAGAAGCGCAAGAACAGCTCGAAGCCAGGAAAGAGGAACTTCAATTGGTCAAGAAGGAGCTCGATGAGAAGCTGGGCGAGCTCAACGAGACGCGTGCGGTCGAGATTGAGATGCGCAATAAGCTTGAAGAAAGCCAAAAGACTCTGAACGAGTACCAGAAGAAGCAAGCATACTTCCATGACAAGCTAAGCAAGCTCGCATACCAAAATGTCACCGACTTGGGCGAGGAACAAGAAAACGGAGGTGAAGGTCTCCCGTCTTACAGCAAAGACGAGCTTCAAGACATGGACAAGGCTACTCTCAAGGACCAAATCGCCCACTTGGAGAAGAAGAACGAGTCCACGCAAGTCGACCTAGCGGTCCTCGCCGAGTACCGCAAACGTGTCGAGGAGCATGCTGCGCGCTCTACAGACCTCGCTTCTGCTGTCAGCGCCCGTGACGCTGCAAAGCACAAGTGCGAAGAGCTTCGACGTCTTCGCAAAGAAGGTTTCAAGGCTGGTTTCGACATCATCACTGCGCGTCTCAAA